CATGTTTTATGCATCTAACCAAAAACCCATTCAAAAAAACTACTTTGACTTTGGGATGAGGTTAGCAAACATGCTAACCGATTTCTGTGTTTTAAGACTCAATTCTGCAGCAGTCTATACCCACTGGAGCACCATATGTGTATTCATCCACTGCAAAAAAAATAGTAAAATAATTCCCAACACATAATTGCAAAATCTAGTGTCCAACCGTTGTAGCCCTTTTTAAACTGAATTTATATTTGTGAACTTTTGCCTTTAAATATTTAGGTCTTCAGTAGGAGCCAGCTGGATTGGAGCTGAGTGCCACAGCTTAAATGGAAAAGGATTTTTTGATGACAACAAAAATACAGACAAACAACAGCCTTGTCCTTTAAATAGTTTTAAGGCTGGAAAAATCATCTTATTTCACACTGTATGACAGTATCATCTGTATTTCGTACCGGTGGGTTCCAACGTTTCATTGAGACTAAACGATGTTCATGGATTTGAACAGTGTTTGTGCTGTAAATGCTGAGCCACTGGCTGGTCGGTGGGGTCAAAGTTTATTTTATCATTTACACGGGCAGAAAAGTGTCCATACTTCTGGCCATATGCTCCCAACTTCTTTGGCTTACAACCTCTTAATATAAGGCCAACAAGCTGCATTAGTTGTAAGACGATTTAACATTCTTAAACTTTCTTTAAACTTTTTTAAACAGTTTTTATAAGAGAAACACTGCAGAGAAAAGTCTGAAAAATTTATATACAGTATATTAGCAATTTTTCAATATTTAATATGAAGCTTTGTGTCCCCTAGTTATGCTTTCAGCCAGTGTATTTAACATCGAAACACTTTCTTGGTGTAGCTTAAAAAAATGGAGCGAGTAATCTATTTGTTTTACCTCAATCCAGTGTGTGGATCTGGGTCTCAGGACAAGGAGGTGAGTGTCTGTCTCTAATAAGAGATGCAGTTCTTTCATTCCTAATGGAAGAGTGTGTGTGTGTGTGTGTGTGTGTGTGTGTGTGTGTGTGTGTGTGTGTGTCTGGAGGGGGTTACATATCTGGACAAGATTCCTGGGAGCTATGATCTGGAACAGTGAGCCTGGAGTGGCCAGCGCTGGCGTTGGCCGGGGAGGCGAAGGGAGTGCCCGGCTTTCTTTTTTTTTTTTGTTTTGGCCCGGAATAATGTCTCCACCTCACCTAGCAGAGCCTCTTCAGCTCTGTTTTACAGCAGCAGAATGTGGAAAGAAACAAAATACTAAACTGTTCTTGTATCTTGAAGAGATGTGCGTTACCATGCTGCTGGAGTGTGTGCGTGTCGTTTTCGGTTTTCGTGGTTGAAATATCCTGCATGAAAAGTAGCAGTAACAGCGGGGGAGCAAAATATTTGTGTGTGAAAGTGTGTATGAGTATGAAGGGGTGAGACAGGAAGCATCTATGCACCCCACTCCCAGCCGCAAAGTAGTGGTAGTGACTAAGAAGAGTCAGTACGAGGGGAAATGGGTCACTGCAGTATGTGTGTGTATAAATGAGTGTGTATTTAAGCCTCAAGTGTAAAACTCAAAAGCCCGCCAATGTGAATACATGTGTGAAATTTAGCTTGTGTGAATATATTTACACTATTAGCATGACAATGTGGTGAACTTCCTCTTTGGGGGGCTCACGGAACAAACTCATCATGATTTTGCTTGTTGCATCTACAGCAGCTGAAACAAGTGAGACTTAACTTTGAAGTGGGTGGGCGTCTGTAAAGTGAACTTAAAATCTCTCTTACCTGCGTTTGCTACAGTCAAAAGAGTGTGAAAACACATCATTTGTTAGTGTCCACGATATCATGAGCTCATTTACAGCTTTAGGCTCTTTTCCGGTGACAGTCACATGCCTCGTGATATAACACAGGGTCATGGGTTCCCCTCAGGCTCCATCTCGGGGATGCTGGAGCACAGAGAGCCATTCCTCTGTGGCATCTTAATCCCATGTTTTGATTTGAGTGCTGTCGTGGCCTCGGCTTGTGACCTGCGTTCCCTCACATGAAAATACTGCAGAAACACAGTTTTTAGTGTCTACAGGTAATACCAATGTAAAAGTGACTTATTAGTCTCACAATCTGGTCATCTTTTGTGATTGAGATGAATTTCATGGTGTTTTTCAATGAACTGTAGGCTGTAAACACTACAGGACGAAAAGCATGTTGTCTATATATTATTGGAACGTATCGCTTCTTATGGAAGTAAAAATAACAAAAGCGCATCACAGCATAGGCTGTAGAGAGGCTGAAAATAGTTGACATACTTCTGAGAAAATCTCAGTGCTCTGGATCTTCATTGTGTAGTGCCATCTGGTGTTTTGTAAAAGATACAGCTTCATGCCCTAATTACAATATCATAAGAGCCACAAAATGTCAGCTCTTCATATGATCCTCAACTCAGAGAGGCGGGACGGCTCCCTCTGCTGGTGATCAAGCAGGACTGAAGCTTTAACGCACTTCAGTTCCAGAGAGCAGGAGATGAGGGAAGTCTCAAATCAAGTAAAATGCTTTATGTCTAGTGGTGTTCGGTTCAGTAGTGTGATAATCTAGTAGGTGAGATCTATGGGAGGGCCCCATAGTGACAGTGTCAAATAGGAGGGTCTCCAAATTCAACCACACCCACTGAACAATCCAAACACAATGTATACTGTATGTATATCTGTCCTCTCTGCAGCTTTAAAGAACACTCCTGTACTTCAGCTTCCCTTAAGTTGGATGAGTCGTCAGAGACGGAAGAATGGTCAGATTTGATGCAGCAGTGGCAGAGATATTCTGTTTTTTTATTTATGATTTTAGTCCTCAGTATGGGTCAATTAAAAAAACAAACAAAAAAAAAAACTGCTACATTTCCCATAATGCAACTCATTACTATCTCCTTGTTAGAACCTCACCCACATCTTTCAAACTTCACACCCCCAGACACACCTTCACACCCCCCAGCTCACAATGCAGAGATTCTGTTCGAAGAAGAAATTGTGTAAAGCCCGTGCTAAGCTGAGATAACCCCCCGATGACATCACTGTGACATCACAAGGGGTTATTTTTTTTTTACACCTGTCAAGATCTTCCAGAGCCTCAGCAGACAGTATAAACATGTGATAACAGGCTGGGTGGAATTAATGGAGTTTTCCTTCAATTCTAAATCAAACATTTACATTTCAGCATCTCTCGGGCAAAGTTACAGTATAAAGTGAAGCCTTAGTGTTAAATGAACTAAAACTATAGCATCTTATCTTGTCCTCGGTGGCAGGGAGAAAATAAAATATGTAAAAGAGATCATGACAATGATAAGGGAAATATTAATATTGTTAATCTGTTCTCTGAGGAAATATATTGCTCACTGATTTAAATATACAAATGTTCATGTCAATAGTTTCCAGTGATGCAGTGATGGATAGTTAAGGATCAATTTTGAGATACTTACTTGGATATTTCCATTCTTTATACTGGTTTATACTTTTACTCCACTTTATTTCAGAGGGAATAACTGTACATTTTACTTTTCAAATGAACATTTCTCAATAAAAAAAAAAACTACTTTAAGAAAAATATATGATTAATTAAGCTTATAACACATAATGTCAGTGATTAAACCAGTGGTTCCCAATCTTTTTGGGTTGTGACCCCTTTACAAAAATAGTTGAGATGTTTGGAGAGGGAAAAGCAATTTCATCTCTAAACTTTTCATTTAAATAAATGCACCAGGTCTTAAAAGGTAAAAGTATCAGATATTTCACAAAAATCCAAAATATGAACACTTCTTCTGTCCTGCTGGATTAATCATCTCACAACCACTCACATTTATCTTGGGACCCTTTTGGAGGGGCCTGACCCTGACTGGACTAATAACTGACTGTATACGAAGTGGTTCAAACCAGCTCCTCCTTGAGCAGCAACTGTAAAAAGCTGCTTACGCATCAATACATCAGGATAAACAATCTAATAATAACATTTTACTTTTATCTTTTATATCTCAGATAAGGTTTTCACATGATGAAACTTGTTGAAGTTGGGTTTTTTTTTTGTTTGTTTGTTTTTTTACATTAATCTTCATATTTTTCCTTTAGAAATCACAGTGGGCTGAAATGATTGTGGGTTTCCATCCATCCACGAGGTCTAACAGCCAGTTTGGCCTGAGGCCGTAATAAATTAAAAAAAAACAAACATGTGCCACTGATTTTCTCTGCTGGCGCTGACCAACTGAACAGCTGAGCGCTGATAGTAATGACGTTAAGGTCAATGCAATGTGGCTGAAATCCATGAGTACTCCACCCTGTACCCGTCCTGCTCTGCTGTCACACACAGAACTGCTCTGTCCTGTTTACTGTTTGCCTTGATGTCTATTCTCAATTGCCATAATGTCCACTGGCACGCACTCCACGCCTCTGTGCTGGCACAGATTGCGTGATCTCTCTCTCTCGTCCGCGGGTTATGTCACATTCCAGGGAACATGTTGAGGCAAGAGAGCTCACCTGAAACTGAGGAGAAAATAATCACATGCGCTCTCCTCTCATTCAGCAGCACCGACGGAGGAATGTCAAGTTTCCACTTCAATTGAGGGATGACAGGATTCTTAGAAAAATTTTCCCAGTCCTTGAGCTGAGAAAACCCTGTTAGAGCTTGTGAAACTGAAGTTGTTTTCTCCCCTTTAGGAGAGATTTTGGATGAATAATATTTTTTTAGCCAGCAGCGCCGATTGGCAGGAGCTGGCAACTGTCTGGTCTCACCTCTATCTTCACGAATCTCCCATCCGCCGATTCATTTTCACATCTCCTGCTGTATCTCACTCACTGTTTCCTATTCCCTTTTATTTGATCCACAACTGCCAGTTTTACCCTCCCTCCGCCCATCTCTCTCTCCCTCTCTCTCTGTGTGTGTGTCACTGTATGTCGATTAACCAGTCATGGCAGTGACATGTGGAATTTTTCATTACCTCGCCCCGGGGGCACCATGTTGTCTGTGCCTGTGTATCCTGCTGCTTTTTTTTCTTTTTTTTTCCACCCCTGCCTTCTCTCTCCCTCTCACACTCATTCTCTCTCTGTGGTATTATTCAGAGTCAGCCACTAGCGAGCTGTGATTTGTTGTTTGTTGTGCAGCCAGCTACATGGGGCAGCAGTAGCTGTCAGTGACTGATCTCCTCTCCATGGCCTGTCATCCCTCCGGCTCTGGCTCCTACACCGTGGTGATATTCCCGCTCAGGACCAGCCTCCACAGCCTGGACGCACTTCGCTTCTACCTATGGGTGAGGAGGGAGATGATGGTGTGTGTGGTGTGATACCAGCGTGGTTCTGACTTTAATCAGTCACTTCTCACTGTGTCTTGCTGGAGTGTTTCTCCTGAGTTAGTGATTCTTATCAGCGCCCTGTGTGTACTCATGTGTGTCTGATTTGTGTCATTAGGCAGTTTGTTCACGTTTGCTCAGTATATTTACATGACCTCTTCTATATTCTGCTGGAATGTGGGACGTCTGTTATGAGCAGATATGCTGTTTTTCAAAACTTTTATATTTCAGCTTGAACTGATACTAGAAGGAAAATAAAAAGAATTTCAGAGAGAGGTCTGTCTCCCTCCAGGTTCACGTAACACACACGTGATAGATTTGCGCTAAATGGCAGCATTCAAAGCAATTCCACACATGTACACATCTCGCTGTAAGTGCAAGCAAGTACAAGCCGGTGGGGAGGGTTGTGCCAAAGTTCACTGACAGCAGAAACCCCCGATCAACACATGTGTTGATACAAGAGATCAACACATGTGTTGATCGGGGCTGCAGCTGCTTATTATTTTCATAATCAATTGTGTAGAAAATGTCAGTTTCCCAGAGTCCAAGGTGACTCCCTCAAATTTTTTTTTTTTTTTTTTTTTTTTGCTGTTCCACAGTCCAAGATATTTAAGTAGAAAATCTTCACATTGGAGAGAATGTTTCCCTAAAACTTATCTCAATAATTTATTATCAAAAGATTGTCGATTCATTATCTGATGATTTAATCAATAAATCAACTCACTGTTGCAACTCTAGTCATGTCCATGCAGTGCTTCATCTCACTTAGAGATTTTTTACTTACTCCCAAAAGAAAATCTAAAATTTAATTTTTTAATCTATAATCTTAGATTGTATGTTCTGTAGATTCTATTCCACAAAACGCTGTTTCAGAGCTGCCAGAAATAACATTCTGTCAGAGAAAATACTCAATTATGTATTTATTCACTTTTTGTTGGCCTAAAAGTGATCACATTTTAATATATCTGATCTAAGTGCCACAGTGGCAGCCACAGCCCTGCAGAAATACAGTGTTTCTGTGTCATTCAAACAATAATACAAAAGTGTTTGTTTTCATTGAATATGGATATTAATATAAGGAGTTTCTTTAATCTGAAGTACATTTTAAGGAGTCACTCTGGTCATTCTGGGCTCACCTTAGAATAGTGTTTAATGGGAGAACTGAATTATTCATATAAATCCAAATCAACATTTCATGCTGTATATTGAACTAAAACACTTGCAGAGTCATTCTGTTTTCACTCAGGTTTTCCATCATGTCTGCGTGCTGTTTTGGAGATAGCGTGGCTGCGGTCATCCCACTGACACATTCCCACATGTCAAGTCCGCTCCTCGCAGCTTCCCGTTAAAGGCTCAATATAACCAGGTTTCCACTGGCTGTAAATCTATGATCATAAAAAGTAGCTGTCAAACAGTAACTGACAAAAAAAACAACAGTGATATATTTAGATTGTTTTATAACATACAGACATACGGCGACAAGGTTAATGCAGAAAAATCCTAAAATGGAACTTCCTTGAAAATTTGATGAGTCAAATGCGTCTAATAGCCTGTTAATCATTCAATAGTGATGTATCAGTGTCATTAGTTTTTAATGTCATCCTAAACTAGCTCGCTGCTGACCTCACGATGCCACAGGTGGATCATCACCACCACATATTATGATTCCCTGGCTGCTGTAGCACCGTTTCTCTGTGTGAGCCTGTTTAAAGTGCGTGAAATCCAGCTGAGCGTAGACAATAGAACTAAAGGCCTCCTGCTGCTCTGTAGATTGGCTCCGCTCATGGACAAAGCCTTGGGGCCTCTGGAAGACAACAGGCAGCACTGTGCCAGTCATGCTGCTTTACATCAGGCTGAAGGGCAGGTTGCTGGTGGTCAGGCTTGTTTAGTCAGCCCCCACACCCCCGCCCCCACCCCAACCCCCATCCCCCCCTACACACACACACACATACACAAAATACATGTGTACTTTGTGCCATCAAAATACACATGTGAACATACACGTCCCTAATGAAACTGGGTATATCATCAATCTTAACATTTCTGGTTATTTTTCAGGGAGTTTTGGGCATTTTTTTTTTTTTTTTGCCTCTGAGAGTAGAAATATGACAGGAAACCACCCTAACAGTTTTTCAATTATTTTTGTAATTATCCAAAAATGGGGTTTGGAGGTTACAGGGCAAAATGTAATGTTTTCACACCTGATCTAACTGTGCTCCTCCTGTTTCAGATTAAGCGTCTGAAGGATCTGGAGAGGGAGAAGGATGCTCTATGGTGTGGTATGGAGATTCTGGAGAACACTCGCCTCTGGTACCTCCAGCGGCTGGAGGAAAACCGCATCCGACAGGACGACATCGAGACCAAAAGTGGGCCTGGCTCCTGTCAGGGAGGCGCAGCTGAGGTAGAGAACATTGCTGAGGATTAGAGCCTCATTGACTTTACTGACCTTAGTGCCCTGTGTGTTCCAGTTTGGTCTATAAATATAGAGATCCCTCACTATCCACAAACTGATTGGTGAGCGAGCTTTAGTATTTCTACTCACTTCACCATACACCCACTGAAAGCTATTCTGGGAAAGGTGATCACTAGAAACACAAGAGGTGACTAAAAAAGACTAAATCAAAGCTCTTCAACTGCTGTGTTTTATATGACATGGTAAGAGAACCCAGAGGGCGTCATCAGGAGGCATCTTTGAGACTAATTGGACAATTGGACAAAGCCATAAAGTTAGATTGGGGTTGAAAGTTGCATTAGGCCTGGATGTGCAGCATACAGATTTTGTTTTGTCACTAGATCTAGAAATGGATGTGAACATAATAAAAAAAAATAACCTACAATTAGAAATTCTAATTCCTCATCCTTGTAAAAAGTAGCATGTGAATATCATCTTCTCACAGATACCTCTAGATTAAAAAAAACCTTGTTTCTGGCTCTTGTCTCTCTCCAGGCTCGGCCCTGCCTCCTCAGGTCTCGTATCCAGAGGGTAAACGGCTCTCTGGGCTCAGTGATGACTGAGCCCAATGTCATGAGCAGCAGCAACCCCTCTCTGCCCGAAACAGTGGCAGACAGCGACCTCCGGTGGCACAACTCAGTACTGACTCAGGTAAGGATAACAGAGCAGGTATTTAATAGTTTCTAATGGTCAAGAAGGTCAAGTAAATTGATGTAAACTGAATTTAAACTAAATTTTACGGGTTCATACACAACTTTAAAGGCCTCAAGATACAAAAATTCCTATTTTGTATTCATTTCTGTTATCAAAGTTATATAAGAGTGCATGTTTTTGCATGTTTTTGTACTTTTGCTTCAACTGATTGGTCTGTTTGTGTGTGCATGTGATATGGCCATGAATATCTTGGTTTGTCTTTCTGTCTTTGACAGGAGGTGAGTAACAAAAATCGTCAGATCTCCATGTTAGAGCTGGAGAGACATGCTCTCCTTGAGCAGCTTGATGAACTGCAGGCCTACTGACCACCAGCTACACAATCACATAAATACGCACGTCCTGCCCTACAAACTTACATTTCGTTGTCACACAGTTGATCACTTTCTAACTACTTGTAAATATGTATTTAAGTGAATAAATTACAGTTAATGATGCATTACGTGTGTCTATGTTTTTCCTGTTCTGTGAACCAGTGTTTGTGAAGGGCTGTCGCTGATGAATACCTTGACTGACATAATGACTATTGGTGTCATGACTCACAACTGACTTTGTCAAACCCAAGCCCTGCTGTCATTTTACACCATTAATTAACTTAATCTAATAATTAGAACTCATAATTATTGGCATATGTTACATTACCAAGAGGCTAAAATTGTAAACAGTTTCTACACTAGTGGTTCAATATATGAAGGAGGCCCAGGGTTTAGAAGAGATGAGATAAATACTTCAGTTGGTGTAAAGTAACTAAGTACATTTACTCAAGGTATTTGAGGTATTTGTACTTGAGTAATTTCCCTTTTTATGCTACTTTATACTTTTATTGTACAAAAGTCCATGGGGAAATATACTTTTTACTTACTTTACACAGCTGCAGTTACTTTTCAAATTAAAAGCTTACATACAAAAAATATCATCAGTTTATTAAATATGATATTTGTTTATATACTAATCTCCCAAAATGTGTATGAAGCAGTTAGAATTAGCTCCACCTTAAAATTAAAGTACTGTTAATATGTTGATGCATCAACAATAATGATCCAGTAATACCTTCAAACACTTAATGGGGCCCTTCTGTGTAATGAGTACTGTTACTTTTGATACTTAATATACATTTAGTTGGCAATAATTATGTACTTTTCCTTAAGCAAAAATTTTAATGCAGGTCATTTACTTTTATAATGTGGTATTGCTATGCACATGCAACACTGTCATCAACATGCCGTATATTCAAATCACTATTGCATGGTGTCTGGCAATGCTGAAAAAAATCAGTTAAATCCCAAACTGTGTATATGGTGATAAACACTGTGGCATTAATGCAGTTAAATGAAGTTTGCTTTTATAGTGAGACTCCAGTATTTAAGCTTTTCTGCAGCAAACAGAGGAAAGCCCAGCATCCCGGGGTCCTGTAACAACCGGTTCTTCCGTTTCCTCCTCTGCATGAGGGCTCTCTGTCTCGACACGTAGTAGCAACCTTTCCCGGTGGTCCCGCACTGATCTTACTTCATCTGATAAACTTTATCTTGCCCAGTCATCGTGCATGTATAGCAGGAATTTTTCTCTCTCCTGCACTGCACAAATAGGTAGCCTTGCACACAGTAGAAACCATTCGCAGGCTTAATATAGAACCCAAACATGTGTCTGACACCCGCAGAGGTATTCTCCGTGTTGCAGGTTTTATAGTTCCACTTTTAAACCAATCTTTACTCCATTTTGCTCGATTGTTCCACTTTTTTATTTTTGACCTGTTTTCATTTTTCATGCTTCGTATCCTTAATCAGGACCTTGTTTTGTGTGACCGTTCATACAAAGTGATTGTGCTGTAATTGTCCCCGAGTGTGTGTTTACTCTGGGGCCCATGGCGGCCCTGTGTCTGATTGGAGATGTTGTTGTTAGCCTGAACTTCAGTGCCTGGCCAGAAACTTGCAGTCATTATGGGAGAAGGTAAACAGAACGGAGAGAAGACAGTGTGCAGTATGAGGGCACTTTGTTGTATCTGTTGTTGTGTTGAAGACGACAAGGTTTTGTGCAGTTTTCCTGCGGCAAACGTTGTGACAGATTCACGAAGCTGATAGTGCTGGAGGGTTTAACACATGTGAGGTAATTCCAGAGATAAATTAGAATTAGATTGCAACAATTCTCCAAAGTTATAAACCTTTCTTCTTCTTCTGTCTTCTGTATTAAATCACATGCATGCATTAGCAACAACTCTTCCAGTAAAGTAGAGCGATGCCTGCAAGGAATCTGAGCAGGAGTCCGATTAGAATCAGCCTGTGTGCATCAGGAAAGAAAACATCCATTAAGGCAGAGGCTTTCATTTAAGTAGCTTCATGTTCCCTATCTTCAGTGCCACTGAACCATCAAGCCCAGGGTACCAGCACTTGGCTAATTATTGGGTCTAATTCACAAACTGCACAGCCAAACACCTCTTGCTGAGGGTTTGTCATGCCTTCATGCCTGTCAATGCCATTCCTCCATACTACCACGGTTCACTTGAGCAGCACTCTGCCGGTCTCTCCACATCCCTTTTGCTTGTATACAATATCATGTTTATTTTTTAATTTTTTTTCCTAATTTGTGGTTTTGGTATTACAGTAAATCAGAAAATGTTCCGTGCAGGTCAGCGGAGGTGGGAAGCATAAACACACAAATAGGATGGAAATTAGGTGTTTTCGGGGGGCTCCTCTCACGAGGCTGAGGGCTCCCTGATAAATGCATTCCTCAAGCTATTAGGAGAAAAAAACTTCCTGGGGACCCTGAGATAGTAAAGTGAGCAGGTGGTCTTTGAAGAGCACTCAGGTAGCTGAAAACAAGGAGAGAAACTTTCTTTTGAGGAGACACTTGTGGTTTGAGATTTCAATTTCTGTGCTTTGGAAACCGGTCAAGCCTGGATTACCGTAATGTAATGTTCACTTCCATAACATGACGTCTTGCTCATAGAAGAGATATAGCAGTAATTAATGATTTGACAAAAATGGCTGCATTACATTTGGGTAGATCTGGATCTGAATTACTAATGTTATTACACCCACCCATGCTTCTCCTGCTAGTCAAAAAGGAAAAGGCCTCTGCGGCACGGATAGAAACTGTAGCATTATCCAAGATCGTATTCTCTTCATTGCAGTAGGTTGTCTGATTTTACAGCAATAGTGCAACATCATAATGTGTAGGTGGACTAGAGAAGTTAAGATGAACATTATGAACTCGAGTCGCTCGCTCATTTGGTGTGAATGAAGCACATGCATATGACTCTACGTGTCACATTAGGATCAGTGGGGATCTAAGAGGATAATCAGTCCACTTTAAAGGGGTAAATTCAATCATAAAAAATATTTCTTTTGGATTTATTTATGTTATTTATGTTGTTTTTGCGAACATGTCACATGTGTTGATCTGCACATATATGTGAATCTGAAATATTTAAGTTGTATTTTGTACTGTTGAAAAGCCTTTCCACTGTTCATTTGCATTGAAACAGAGTCAATAATTGTAGATAATTATAAGCTCACAAGATTTTAATACAATACAAAAAAAATAACAATTTCCCCAAAACAATGGCTTTGTACACTGAATTCACTTTCAGTATTCATAATGAGGTGAGGTTTCCCTGCAGAGAATACAATTACCCCTGATACTTATTTTGACTACAGTCTGTTTACGTGGATGTACAGGAAAAAAAAACCTCAGCATCACACACAGTCAAACATTGTTCACTGAAATAACGTGTTAGTCACCTTGTTGATGACCTTCATGAGGCCCACAACCACCAAATCAAACTTCATTCAAATGATATTAAACATATTATTTCTGAAGGTCAAGAATGAAATTCCAAATATTGATCAAGTATTATTGTTTTTGCCTCTAATGTCCACCTGGAAAAAACAGTTTTTCCTGCCTCCCCACATGTAAACAAACTGTTCGTGCTCAATGTACGGACTGGGAGTTTCATGTCACATCTTTACTGTAAAAACCTGTGGTTGTTTTCACTGTTCTTCTTGTTTTTTTTCATTCAGTTTGTCCTTTTAATTACACTTAATTATAACTAAGTGTTGCGTAATTCATATGCAGCATGTCATACAGAGAACGAGAGACAGTGAGAGAGAGCTAGTAAACAATTTCCCCGCCGTCGCTGAGGCCAGTTTTGGATTCTCCGTCACTGTTGCACTCTGTCCTCTGCGGCAGCGGCGCACGGTTGCGCGCATCTCCAAGCGACATCTCCATCCCGGACACGTTCAAGTCCAGCAGGCTCTGCAGGTGTTTGATGTAGTCAATAGCCGCCCGCAGAGTCTCCACTTTGCTGAGCCGTTTGTCCTCAAACTCCTGCGGCAGGTGCTCTCTGAGCCGCGCGTAACCCTCGTTTACGCAGCGCACACGGTGTCGCTCCCTCTCGTTCCTTTTCCGGATGAACGCGGGCTCGAAGGAATAATCACACACACCGAGAGATCCGTGAAAGGGGAAATAGGATAGCCGTCTGTAGGGTAACATGTGGCCGTGCACAGGGTCGAGGTACGCAGCGTCTAGGTGGAAGGGCAGTCCGAGTCGAAGCGCATCTTTGTAGTGCGCTCCGGTCTTGTCCATGGAGATGCCGTGGAGAGCCAGCGGAGGGACATATGGAATATGCTCCATCAACTCCTTGTTGTGATAAGACATATTTCTAAAAAGAAAAAAAAATCCAAAGGGAGACAATTTTATATTAAACAGTTAGGAAGCAGTAAAATATGCAAATTATTCTGCACCAAATAACCTACAAAAATTTCTACTCACCCTGTCAGAGTCGCCTCTCAGTCATCTCGTGCGTTGTGAAAGAGTCGCCACTTTAATGTTAGATATGACTGTGACCTTTTAAAAGTCTACTGTCTTCGATCAGGACATAATCAGTGACAGCTTGTTTGTGGGGGTTTTAGGCTAACGTCAGGGTGGGTGTGATCCGGGGCGGGGATGTAGGCATGAAACTTTTTCTCATAAAGATAAAACTGTTTACGTAACGTTTTCTTCCTTCCGTCGAGACAGTGAAGCGGTTCTCAACATGAAACGTGCTTGTAATAACTGGCTTAACTGATGCTAATAAACCATGGAAGAATATGCATAAGGATAGATTGTGAGACAATTCTCGGGATAACCCATTCGATCCCAGTTCAGTAGATCAGTTTATTTAAACTGTGCTTCATGCTGTGAATGATCATTCAAGGTAAACACAAATCATACGTGCAAATAATCAATTGCTGAGCTTTCTTTTATTCAACTGTAAAGCCACCTGTCATTTGTGTCTCCCTTCAGAGGCAGTTGCGTCATATTGTTTCACATTTCACATTATATTTTTCACTATAGGCTATCACTGATAGATGGTAAAAATATCTTTATATTTCCTTAAATATCACTTTTTATTTTTATTTTTTTCATCGCTCACATTCTTAATCAAATACATCTTTATATTCATTTTTATGTCTTACACTTCAAAGATATGGTAAAGTAATTCCTAACAGCCGATATAACCTGGGCCCCAGTGAGGAGAGCAGTTTGGACCGTAGAGGACATAAAAACTGACCTGTGATCAGCCTAAATACTCACATGCCACCGCGCATGCGCAGTGGAGCGGAGCGGTATGCTGTCATGGCCCCTTTCATGGAGGTATTGTGCTGGTATGTTGTTATTTTTAAGGCATCTTCCCTCCCGAATAACCAGTTTTTCTGCTGTGAAGCTACACCTCCGCATGTGAGCAGGAATACACTAACTTTTGCCAAGCTCAAACCTCAAAACTCTGACTATTGTCTGTTTTGACGATGTATGGAGACGTAAGTTAGCAAGGCTAACGTTAGCAGTGTGACAAACTGGTCAATGTTTCGCTAACTAGTTGCAAACCAGTCCTTTTAAATATCTAGTTAACTGTCATTTTTGGCTGTTGAATAAGAGTTCTTTAATACGCATAAAGGATGCCTGAAGTTGTTTCATACCAGGGCTTGTATTTAACAGGGAGAGAAATAGAAAAGCACCTTTCGACAGGACACGGATACTGATGGACAGTTGTTGAATTCAGGTAAGCTAATGTGGCCAGTGTCTATTTATATGCTTTATGTGAAATCCTGAATATTCACAATTTCCTCTGTAAAATGTTGACAATAATCTCCTGTACCGGTCCCAAGATATCAGAGCCAAAGTTCACGTCTTATAACTGCAGACATAAAACACAACGTTGTTATGTGATGATGCTATTTCCCCAGGATGAATGACATGAACCTGAGTCCTGTGGGCATGGATCAGCTCAGTGTGCCCTCAGTGAGTGCCAGCCACCTGGGGCTGCCCACCTCACCCACACACAACCCCATCCCCACCCCAGGTATGGAAGGCATCCCCAGGCTTGCTGGCTCAGACTGGGAAACGCATTAAACTAAAAGACTTTATTTTTCCTAACTGAGTGTGAAAAGACTCAGCATGACTTATTCAGTGACTTACCTATGCAGATTATGGTCATGGCAGTGTGTTTCGATTGTGTTGTAAACTTTCTTTCCCACCTGCCAAAATCATAGAAAAACTGAACCCTTAACTACTGCATTATAGATGATGACTGGGCTTTAATATGTATAATGTGTTGTGCTTCTTGGCTAAATGAACAAAGGGCTATCCCTTTATCCAATGCATTATATTTTCCACTACATTGTATTCTGCACACTCGTCCCCAGCCCTCATTCATCTGTTCATTTGAATTATGGTTTAGGCATGCCGGTGGCCATCCCCAGCCTGGGTCCTTCCCTGGGCTCCCTCCCTTCTGCTCTCTCGCTGATGCTCCCCATGGGTCCACTGAGTGACAGAGGAGTGATGTGTGGCCTACCGGAGAGGAACTACTCTTTGCCACCTCCTCCATACCCCCACCTGGAGAGCAGCTACTTCCGACACATACTGCCAGGTGAGGCACTGTCTGTGTGTGAGATATATCAGTCATTTCTGTTGAAATTCTCAAAGCAGTTGGTTGGATTCTTATAGTTTGGACGCTTGTTTAAGTCATCTTGCTGTGTGTGAAGGGTAGCCTTCCTCCTGTTTCTCTTTCGGCTGAAATTATTTTGGTTAATGAAACATTTATGCACGCTACTCAGTACATTAAAAATCACACTTCGTCTCTCTTCACTCTACAGGTATCCTGTCTTATCTGGCAGACCGTCCACCACCTCAATACATTCATCCCAGCAGCCTTAACATGGATGGGACCCTGTCTGTGACCAGCAACAATCCCTCAGGTCTGGACCCCTACAGTGGCCCTGGAGGCCCACTGGAGCAGGGCCTGGTGCCCATGGACTCCAGACAAGTCAGTGGACAGGGAGACCTCCACCAGACAGGTGCTCATGAACTGGACTCTACAGGATTGGCCATGGAGTCACGTGTTAGCAGCCCCATGTCCCCTGACAGGATGGGAGAGGAGCTGGCCAGCATGGATGGAGTTGGGGTGGTGGCGGTGTCTGACACCCAGCAGCAGCTTGGTGGTGGAAGGCAGCCTCAGTCGCATGAGGGCCTGACTGGTGTGGACTCATCCGGTGGGGTGTTGCCCCTCCATGGGCCCCCTGTGCTCGAACTACCAGTGGTGATGGAGCAAGATCATATGGGGGGTCGAGTTGGTAATGCTGGGGGAGGAGGAGCAGGAGGACTCGGGGAGCAGCTCCACTCGAATGGGGAGCTTAACTCAGGAGTTGTCAGTGTGGTGCTCACTGGCTCGATGGCCAGTCAGGGCCAGCTGGAGCCGGTGCCTCTCCATGGACACTCTGGGATGGGGCTGGAGGCAGTAAATGTGTCCCCCATCACTGCAGAGGTGTCACTGGGGCCAGAAAACAACCTGGTGCTAGTGAACTCCACCTTGCAACTTGAGGATTCTACCTCCAACAAGGAGAACATGGTCACTGCCTACACCATCTGTGAGTCTGTATTTTAGTTCCTTCGAATGTTTAATAAATGAATATACCAGTGAATAAATCTTTTGGAAATACTTTCATTCAGCAGTCATAAGTGGTCATAGAATTGAAGTGAAATGAACATGATTGTTAAAGGGCAGTGACTCAAATAACTCACCTGTGAAAAAGTTTTGTGCTGGTGTTGTGTCTACTAGGGTGCACACTGTGTGAGCGCTCATATACCTCAGACTGCCCAGAGCATGGCCCAGTCACCTTCATCCCTGACACGCCCATCCAAAGCCGAGCTCGCCTCTCTCTGCCACGTCCACTGTGCCTGCGCATCTCAGTGGCCGATGAACCACTTGGTAAGAGAATAAACTCCCTTAAACAAGGGTTTCTGTGGCAGTTAGAGCAGGATAGAGCTGAGTCATTACTCTGTGGACTGATATCATGTTTATTTTTAAGAGAGAACATGACTGGCATATCTGACTCTTAGTCTGTTTTTTGTTCCGTCAATCAAAATGTCTGTTAATCTTGGTGAGGCCGCTCTGGATTTAATCCTGAGCTGGAATTTTAAAACGAGTATAATCTTGCAATTTGTGTAGAGGCAAAAAGCATTCAATTTCAAAACGTTTCATTCCTGTATCATTAATAGAACAGAATAAAATCATTTTTAAGGCTCACACAAGCTTTTACACACACAAACTTTTTGGGACACTGTGTAAGGGCTTTAACAACGTAAAGGCATTTAGGATTTATCAAGATGCCTCATGGAAAGAACAACTTGGTAGACCATCAATTAAATTGCTGGCAAAATGTGCTTACTGTAGGAGTTTTTGCACGAGATGTCATTCCTCCGAGGACCTGCTTTGGACCAATGGTTGGCCAGCACTGTAGCAATGTCGATCTGTCTGATTGGCCGGAAAAGGATGCGCCTCAACTGTGGAAGGTTAGTACAGAGGCTTTAGTTGGACCGTGATTTTTGTGGTCAGCGCAAAACCACGCTACGTAGACGAGGATGATGAGCCATATTCTCTGTCGCAGATGTATCACAACAACGTGCTGGAGTTCTACATCGTGACAACGGATGAGAACGAATGCAACTGGATGATGTTTGTCCGCAAGGCAAGGTATGACACTGAGTAGCAGCAGTGCTTGCATAAAAGCAGCTGCCACAGTGAAAGATTGCTGACAACAGTTCACATTGTTTAGAGCAAAAAAAGAAAAAGACCATATGAGACACAAAAGTGTAATTTAAGTTTCCTGTCCAAACAATCAGTGCTTGTCCAAGCCAATAAGTTAATAAACAGTTCTTTATGTGTTGTGTATATTTAGGACTCGTGAGGAGCAGAACCTGGTGGCGTACCCTGCCAATGGGAAACTGTTCTTCTGTACAACCACAGAAATCCACCCAGACCAGGAGCTGCTCTTTTATTATAGCAGAGACTACTGCAGGATGATGGGTGAGATGACAGATGAGTAGCTGTGATTTTAAGGAACCCTCACATCACTTCTTACATGGTAATCCATAACTTGACCGTTTCCACCAACTTTTATTTCTCCACAGGTGTTCCTCAGGTCCCTGAGGGCCAGATCTGCCAGTGTGGCAAAGAGTGCTCCTCCTTCTCTGAGCTCAAGTCTCATCTAAGCAGCCATAACAGCAACCACAGCCATAACCAACCTCCACACAGCCACAGCCCGTCACAGCAGGACCACTCTCAGCAACAACAGCAGCAGCAACAACCGCAGCAGCAGCAGGCACCGCAACAAGAGCAACAACCACAGCAACAGCAACATTCTCACCAGGAAGAAAAGATGACCAATGGGACCTCAAGCTCCTCCTCTTCGCCATGGCCCTGCCACGCCCATGCTGCAGGACAAACGAACAATGACAACAGCGGCAGCGGCGGCAGCAATAATAGAAACTCTAATAATGTTACCTCCAGAGCGAAAGGTCAGGGCCATGTGCGGGAGAAGAAATTCAAGTGCAGCATGTGTTCACGGGCTTTCATCACATCCACCAAGCTCAACGTGCACTTCATGGGACACGTGGGGATGAAACCTCACAAGTGCGAATACTGCAGTAAGGCTTTCAGCGATCCCAGTAACCTCAGGATGCACCTCAAGATTCACACAGGTATGTACAGGGATAACGGAAGTATAAACAGTAGTCTGGAGTTTTGATTTTGGCAGCATCTGCCTTTCAGCTGTCATATGAACCCCGCAGTTTTGCCTGTGTCTTCCCTACAAGCCACGTAAAAAAGACACATAAAAACTTGTCAACGAGATTTGTTTGAAACTTTGTGGCAGAGAGTTTAGATGAGAAGATCGGTACCATTCACGTATCTGTGCATTGAAAAATTGCATTTCCCCGTGATACCCAAATTTTGCTTTTGTTAAACCTCTGAAACTCCTTTTTCAACTCACAGGTCAGAAGAACTATAGATGCACGGTTTGTGAAAAGTCGTTCACACAGAAATCCCATGTGGCATCACATATGCTCATCCACACCGGTGCAGAGAAGCTGAAATGTGACCTCTGCGACCGGGCGTTCATCAGGAAACATGACCTGAAGCAGCACATGTTCTCTCACACGCAGTATGTGACTTACTTATTGTATTCTAGATAAATCTGCTATTTAAAAAAAAAAAAAAAAAAAAAAAAAACATTTTCAAGTCACCAGACTAATGGCTTCAGCTGATTGTCGTATTGAGTGTATTGTCTCTGAGAACTGATGTTTCCTCTTCTTATTCTTGCCCTTTCCCACCACAGTGAGCGCCGGATACAGTGCCCAAAGTGCAACAAACACTTCCTCAAGACCAACCACCTGAAGAAGCACATGAACTCTCACGAGGGCCGCAGAGACTTTGTCTGCGAGAAATGCCACAAAGCTTTCCTCACCAAATACCACCTCACCCGTCACCTCAAGATATGCAAAGGGCCCAAGACGGAAAGAGCATCCCGTAAGGAGCAGGATGTCGATGAGGAAGAGGAGGAGGAGGAGGATGAGGATGGCAGCAGGGGAGGAAGAGGAGGAGGAGGAGGAGAGAGACTGGTTGACTCAGCCAATAATGAAGACTGTGGTTTAGATGTTGGAGGATATAACTCTGAAAAGTCCCTGTCACCCCCCCATTGACACCACTGTGCCTGTTGAGATGTCTTGTTTATTTATTTACTTTTACCACAATACTGATGTTTACCTCTAGTTTTTGCCAAATATCATTACAACAAATTTGAACAGTATCATCTTAAATGATCAGTTAATTTTAATTGCCACATTTTTCATAATTGAAAATGTTTTCCTTCAGTTTCTCACAAGCATAACACTGCTGCTAAATATGATCAAGCCAGTTGGTAAAGATCTGACTGTATTTGTACAAAGCTATTCTCTCTTTTTCATTTAACTCAGGCCTGTGCAATATTATAGGTTGATGACATTCATATAAGCTATCGTTCATTCATTGTTATTCCTTAATCTGATCTTCCTCATTCAATAACACAGAGTGAATGTTTGACATTCATTTGTAGTTGCACATTAATGTCAATTAAAATTTATCATGCCATATTTTTGCATTGTAGTCCTGATCATATGTAACTGCTAAATGGCCTGTGCTTTTACTCCTTATTTATGAATAGCAGGATTTTTTTATTTAAATTGTCTGTGTGAATGGAAGTGAGCCCCTTGAAAACAGGAATCTGGGCATTATTGTCATAGTCCTCATTGTGTGAATGGTGATTAAATGTTAAAATAATGTTATAGCTCCATCCTATCTTTTGCATAATGATTTAATAAATGAACATTTACAGCTCTTTTATGTTGTTGATTGATAGTCTTGATAGAGTTAAAGTATAACTTACAATTTAACTTCATAACTTTGATTTTTTTGTCTCTACATGGTGATCATAGCTGACCCATTCTCCTTTATATTCAACACATGATCACCCATCAGTAAAACCATATGGGTAATTACAAAACGGGGAAATAGCGCCCCCACATGGCCATGTGAATGTCACACTTCACCTAGTGTCTCGTGAGTGATACATAAATTATGTATGACATGAGATTGTGACTGGTTTAAGCATTTAGCATTTCACTGTTGTAGGGGGTAAGTCGTAACAAGTTACTAAATTTAAATACATTTTTGTAAGCTTAGTTCAAAGGGTCACCAAATAAAATGAGATAAGATCATCTGAGGATAAAATGTCCTATCTATATACTTAAATAAAGCTGTCAGATATATATAAAATATTACAAAATGGAAATACTAAAGTAAAGTACGAGTACCAAGAAACTGTGCTTAAATAAAAGTACTTCAGTAAATATATTTACTTACTTTCTCCCACTGACCAACTGTATAACTGTTGGAATTGTTATGATAATAATATAATAATATCTGCAATATTTTATCATATAATGGGTGTGCTCAATTTATTTATATATTTATTTTTTATGGTATGTATTTAAAAGAGAATTAGCGCTTTAACATTACAACCTAGCATTTACTGCTAACGGAAGTAGATACTGTAGCTTCCTGTTAAATACAAATTATGCAGCGCCGCAGTTGTCATTCACTTTAGCGTGGTATGAATTGTCTATGTTTCTTATGCCTTCTATTTGTACTTTGCTTATGTCCTACTTCGGATAAAATAATGTATTATTTGTTATATATCAATAATGGAAATGTGACTGACTCGCTCGCTCTCTGCAAATTCTATAGTTTATTTGTTAGCTAGCTAATTTTAGCTAACCGTTTAGCAAGGAGCTCAGCTATCCGTGCTATACCAGTAGTCGTAAGTCAAGTACAGTTGTCATGCCTCACAGTCTTACTTCATGTTCAGCTAAAGAATAGTAGTGCTATATGTTAGAGAAGTTCGTTGAATTTGTTCGTAGATGTAGCATTTTGTCTCAATGTTGTTCTGTGCTACTCGTCTTAGCCTGAAACAGTGTGATAAAATCATGTTGACCCCACCGAAGGAGGGGATGCCCAGTATGATAGACAGTGCGCTGAGGATGAGGAGAGAGGAGCAGGCTCGGCAGGTGGTCCTCGCCTGGGCTGTGCTCAACGTGTCCCTAGCTGGCATGATTTACACTGAAATGTAAGTTGTTCCAAGTTCGGTAATGCAAACATAAACAATCATTTGTAATGTAGCACTGGCTTTCTGTCCCTCCATCTCCCATCTCTCTTCTCCCAGTTTGAAGTGTGATGATATCTGTGTGTCTCTTTACTTTTCTGTTAGGTCAGGGAAATTGCTGAGCCGGTACTATAACATCACCTACTGGCCTATCTGGTACATTGGTGAGGACCCACTACACTTTAATTTATTCTAAGGATGTCTGCTGATGTTATTACGTCATAAAATGTATTAAAGTAAAAGTTGTAACAACACAAAAGCATGATTAACTATAAGGAGTACAGTCTTATGTAATCAGGCCTAAATTTATTTTCAGATTCATCTTAATTTAAACAATAGAGTTTAAATACATCCAAGTATTTATACTTTGTCACAGAAGACCCTGTGCCCTCTTTTCTTTCCTCCTTCTCAGAACTGGTGCTAGCTTCTCTCTTTAGCCTCAATGCTCTTTTTGACTTCTGGAAATATTTCAAATACACCATGGCTCCATCCACCATTGCTGTATCCCCCGAGCAGCATCTCCTCCTGGGGCTGAGGAACACAAGTGAGGCTCTGTTTTTCTTTTCCTTCAGACTTTTAATTTTTTCTCTCATTTTGATTCATCATTATTACATGTATTTAAATACACTAATTAAGTACTGTCATTGTCTGTCCCTTTGCAGGTATTCAGGCCTCTCCGCCCCAGAAGCCAGAGAAAAAGGAGACCCCAGCTCCAGCCCAGTCATCTCCCCTGCAGGGCCAGAGCGTGCTGAGTTTCAGCCCCTCTCGACCAGCAACCACCAGCCCCAAGTTCTCCCCCAGCTGTGTACCAGGTTACAGCCCTCCTCTCAGCAACCCACCCACCCCAAACAGTGCAGGGGGGCCCTTTTCCCCCTCAGTGGCTTTTGGAAAGGTATGTTTATCCCAGCACTGATATAATGTGTGGGAAAAGCTTAAGTATATTTTAATAACATGTTGTATTATTCCTGTCTCAGGTGTTGAACTACAGTCCCTCCCCTGGTTCCTCTCCCTACCCCAGCAGCATTGGGCCAGCAGAAGGCTCCAGCCTGAGGGCTCGATACCGCACTTCACCCTCAGTGTTTAACTCCCCGGGAAGCAAGGAGGACTACATGGAGGATCTGAAAAGCCTGGAGAGGTTCCTCCGCACGGAAGAGGAGAAGAGTCACCGTAGCCAACTGGGTACAATATATCAGTTTTTCAGGAACTCCACTGCTAGCAACTAACCAACTTACCCAGAGTCACTGGTAATCAGGCAGATGTAGACCAAGAAATTGTTTTTAGATGCTGCAGCCAGTCATTTCTTTTAGATGATTTAAAGATTAAGTAAATTTTTCCACATGTGGGTGTATAGTGTAATAGAATGAAACCTGTCAGACAAAGTGATAAGCCGATGCCCTTTGTAGGGAGTCCAGAGTCTGTGTCTCCGAGCCACAGTCCAACATTTTGGAACTACAACCGCTCTGTGGGGGATTATGCTCAGAGCTTGAGAAAATTCCTGTACCAGCCAGCCTGCCGCTCTCAAGCTCCGTCTGCTCACAAGGACGAGACGGACCTGGGTTCCAAACAGGCTGCAGAGGAGGTCTGTGAATTATGACCTAATAAAAAAAATATTGTTTGGTGTGTATAAATCTGCTAGTGTCAGAGAGGAATATATGATTAGCGTGACATTATATCTTTTTCCCTCCCTGTTTTGCAGGTGTGGGCCAGAATCACAACCAGTCGCCCTGTAGTGGACCGCATCGATACCTGGACAGCCAAGCTTAGGAATGTGAGTGTTCCAATATATTTACAGGACTACATACTGAGGAAACTTGTGAAAATGTTTCAAAATTATTTTCAATAATTGTTTATTTTGCAGTGGATAAGTGACACCATCTTGGTCCCCTTGGTCAAGGAAATAGACTCGGTCAACAGCCAGCTCAGGAGGATGGGCTGCCCTGAACTCCAGATAGGAGGTAAACCATCTATAGAGAACATGAATCTTGGCAAATTTAATATCTCAAACTGCTGTTATGTTCAGATAGAAAGGGAAGTGCCAGTCATACAGGACCAAAGAAGGAAATCAGTGTCAATTTACGCAGTAGTCATTACTGCAATTTCAAGATGTAGTATTTTTCTTATTTTGGAGTCGGACTAGTTTTCCCCCTTTCCTCCACCAGAGGCCAGTATAAGCAGCCTAAAGCAGGCAGCGGTGATGAAAGCCTCATCCATCCCCACCATGAACTCTATTGTCCAATACCTGGACATCACACCCAACCAGGAATATCTAGTGGACCGCATGAAAGGTAGGTCCAACTTTAAAGACCAATTAATTGTGTTGATATGTGCATTAAGTCCCTACTAGTTATTAGATGGCATGTATGCAAGTATCTAGCGTGTATGTGTGTGTGTGTGTGCGTGTGTGAGAACAAAAATGAACACATTTTTGTTCTTTCGGCTCTGAGCTCCAGCACAATCAGTTTGTTATAAAATATTACATTAAAATGCCAAACACACACATGGCTCAGAGTTGATTGAGAGTTGAGCTGCCATTAGATTGAGGTAGAGTTGAGGTATACAGGAGCCGATTCATTCAATTGCATCAAAACTCATACAGGACCCCTTTTTGTTCTTGTTTCTGAATATACTGTAGTTCTTTATGTCTCTGGCTGTATGTTTGGGCTTGTTGTCATGCTGTGAGAGACTCTGTCATGCTGATGTAAGATTTTTAGATGAGCCTGTCACTTCCTCAGCAACTTCATCTTTTTAGCATGGCTGTCCCTCACCCAGTTTTATTCCAGGCCATGATTTTGGTTCAACCTGCAGATTATGTTGTTGTATGTTGGTATATTTATTACATCATGCATTGGGCTATATGCCTCCAAATTCCTTAAGGTTTTTATCTGGAAAGTTGCTTGTTGCTTTTTTACTTTCTTTAACATCATGCAAATAGCTCACTGGAATACTTGACTATTTGCAAGAGGAATCTTTGAAAATATAAAATGTAGTGCTTCCCATTGACACATTAATGCAGAAGATGTAGAATAACTGTCTACGGCAAATGTTTTTGTGAAACATCTAAAAAACTCCAGTATGATCGAGGATTATGAGTCATGACGATAACGCGTTTTGTTTTTTCAGACTAGGGCTGTCCCAAACGATTATTCTTTTAAACGATTAATCTAGCGATTATTTTTTCGATTATTCGACTAATCTAACGATTTTTTTTTTTTATTAACCTAACAGTAATTTTATTGCAATTATTTTCCAGTTAGTCATTTAATATAACAATTTGCCCCGTCCAACACACACACACACAAATGAAGATGCACTTTGCAGAGTCTGCAGACTACCGCACTGTTGGTGTCAAGATTCCCAAAGTATTCCCAAACTTTGGAGGACCGTGTATGAGCCTTTTTTGCCGCGTGTTGCTCCACACGCTCCGTCGTACTGCTGGTAGATGCCGCCGTGTTGTTCAAATAGATTACAGACGCAAATCATTCACGTAGTCAATGACTTCAATTACGTCACAGCATTGTCCCATCCCTTGCGCTGCGCTTGTATCCGGGTAAACCAAAGACGATGGATATAAACGGTCCCATTAGAAAATTCCGGTTTTGTTCTATGAACATTTACCCTGTGTGGTTTTACACGACGCGTTGACACTAAAATTCCACATCTAATAATTTTTATAATCGACAACGTCAATTACGTCGGATAATTGTCCCAGCCCTGTTTCAGACCTTTTTCATCATTGCTTCTCAGAGGCTTTGGTGTTGTGATAATCCTATCAGTCCTCTTCCATTTTTATTGATTAGCTTAGTTAGGTCAACAGGACATACAATAGGTCAAGCTTATAGTAAATTTTAGGTGCCCTCTGCTGTACCACAAGGTAAACCCCTTGAAGCAGTCTTCATTTTTATTTCATAATTGAAACTAAAGGGTTCTATCTCTCTATAGTAATGTAAACCTATTGAAATTAAAGCGCAGACCTGGCACTTTAATGTAGCATTCGTTATTTTATTTGAAAGTAAATGTGCTAAAGCACAGAATCTGCAGAACAAAACGTGTAACATACGGTCTAGACTGTAAATGTGTGTTTCATGTGTTTTCTGTGTTGTGTTCCATCAGAGTTGGCTCACAGCGGCTGCATGAGCTCCTTCCGCTGGAACAGGGGTGGTGATCTGAAGAACAGGAAATGGGACACAGACCTCCCCACTGATTGTGCTGTGAGTCCACACACACACACACACACACACACACACACACACAGCTAGTTGTGCAACCATGTAAAAACTGTCATTGCACTGTTTCAAATCCAAGTTTGATCTGGTTATCTTGTTTGTGCAGCAACTAACGTTTATTTTCGTTATCACTCGATCTACAGATTATTTTCTTGATTAATTTTTTTGCTTGCATATTTTGAAACATTCACACCACAAGTTACAAGAGTTCAATGTGATGTCTTCAAATGCCTTTTATGTCCGACCTTCCATCCAAAACCCCAAAATATTCCATTTACTCTTAAAAGATGCAAAGAAAACCAAAAAATATTCACATCTGAGTAACAGAAAGCAGTGAAATTTTGACATTTTTGCTTAAGAAATTACTTAATTGATTAATCAATTATCAAATTTTCTTGTGATCAGCTAATTGATTAATTGCTCTTTAATGTATTTTCATGGAGGTGTCAGTGCCACTGTATTGAATGCACAGAATGAGGCTCATTTTTCAAAATGTTGGATTCCTTACTGTGGCACCTCAGCATATGAGAGATGACCCATGGCGGCCCTTCGGAAGGGAGCAACTCAGAAGGCTGGGGCTGACATATGTTACTCAGCGTGACGAGCCGAGTCTGTAGACACCAAACTTGAGGACTTTGGACAAACCTTTCCGTTGTGACATTCACACTAGTCTTAATGGTGTGGCACCTCAGCATATGAGAGATGACCCATGGCGGCCCGCAAAATTACAAGGACTGGGGGTAAAACAGATGCTAATACAAGTATCAGTAAAACAGGCTCTATAGGTTGGGATTAGTCAACATAATGGCTTGTTTCGCTACATGAATACATGCAGTTGTTCCCATTTACAGACCTTTAGGCTATGAAACTGGCCGTGGTTGTTTTGGGTTTTGACTGCAGGGTTTGTGCTGCAGGCATTTTTCACTAACGGTCTAGGTGGCTTTCCTCATCAGTTTGGGATCAGCAGCCAAATACCAAATACTTCCTAATACCTGGTGTATACTTGAAGCCCAAATAGTCAGGTCACTGTTTTTGTCAATTTCCTCAGATCCTCATGCATATGTTTTGCACATACTTGGACTCCAGACTGCCCCCACACCCAAAGTACCCAGATGGGAAGACTTTCACAGCGCAGCACTTCAGCCACACCCCAGACAAACCTGGTAAATACACATACACAGGAAGGAAGAATGATAAAAGGCTTGTCATTTCCACTGATGCTTATCATTTTTGAAACATTGCATCTACTTTCTTTTCATTACACTTCTCTTCTTTGTCACAGATGTAACCAAGGAGAACCTCTTCTGCATCCACCAAAGCAGCACCACCCCCCCTCACTACCAGCTCATCTACCAGGGACACATCTACAGTCTACCTAAGGTGACAGCCAAAAACCTCAGTGTTATCACTCCTTTTCAAAAATATTTTTTCTTGTTTTCTTCAGTTTTTTCAGTCTCTTACAAAACAGCTCTTTTGCCCTTACCAGCTTCTTCTCTTATTTTGTATTGTCTAAGTTGTGCTATTTATACGTCTCCCTGAGGTGAAACTAAATTCAACATAAGATTAAATCAATTTAAATGAAAAGGAGTGAATTTGCCAAATGCTTATAAGATACTAAATAATAATTACAGGGGACATGAAAAAATAACAGGGAGAGCATCGTAGCTCAGATTTCCAACAGTAAAGTTATTAAAGACATTACTGTACAGTACAGCTTTTTTCCAGCAACACACAAAACATTTGACAAATCTGTTTAAGAGCCTTCTGTAAGCTTGTCAGTATTTCTGTTCAGACAACATCTTATAAACATGAACTGTGCCTCCTTTTTCTGACCTACACTGAAATAATTTGTCTTTGTTCTCTATTAAATTGTTAGCTTCATTATCTCTCTCCATTAGAAGTTCAAATTCAGTTATCCCCACATGCAGTATGAAACTGCAAGCTCCTTTAGAAACAGATTTCTCATTCAACACAGGATGTCTTGCTCTACGACAACACTTTGACTGCAGTGACACGAACCCATCTTGATTTCTATTACAGGGCAGAAACAACCTGTTCCACACGATCCTCATGTTTCTTTATGTCATTAAGACTAAGGAGTCAGGGATGCTGGGGTGAGTACTTCCACAACTAAAATCGTATGAATGGCCAACTAGCCAAAAATAATCATTAGCACAATAGAGAGGTCATGTGCAGAATGCATTGTGATTGAAAATGATTGGTTTGACCTTGCTTGCCCACTGTGGGATAATTAAATTGCTTCTCATATTTTCTCCAGGAGAGTAAATCTTGGCCTCTCTGGTGTGAACATCCTGTGGATATTTGAAGACTAATATGTTGTAATTTTCAAACAACAAAAAGCTACATGTGGATGATTTTTTTTTCTCCTCGATGCTGTCTACGCTGGTTGGAATATCTCCTGAAATTAAATACTGCTCTTTAAGGAGCATATGAGACTTTGAAATTTACAATAAATGCACATTTTTGGACATTTTGCCGGTTTTAGTCTACAAATTGGCAGCATGCTGTATTTTCATTGACATTTTAAGAAAACATTTCTGTTGACACCACAATGTGCTTACGATCTAATGCAGAGCTGTATTTTTTAACAGTGTTTGATTTATTGATTTTTTGTATTTTGAGAATGTACCAGCATGGCAGCCTTGTAAATAATATACCTCACAATTGGTGGATGGCAAAGGGCTCAGACCCATTCAGCTTGAATGTAAATACAGTATGTGTGGACTTGACGTGTTTCTTCAGCATCAGTAATCAGTTTGTATACAGTTTATATTTGTTTTTTTTCCTGTTCTGTTGTAGAATGAATGTCTGCAGAAATAGGGATACTCCTGGCATGTGCTTGAATTTATCTGCAAAAAAACGGTGCAAAAAGCAGCAATACTCAAATAAGAGAAATATTGGAGTATTCTGTAGTTACTAACTTTTCCATACTACTAGGCTGCAGTGCTGCACATACATACACTGTTAATTCTTTGAATATGTAATGGAGAACAAATGAAAAGCCTTTGAATCACCAAAGTCTTTTCTCAGGATATAATGTCTTCTACAAAAGAGTTCTGAATGCCATTTATCTTCCCTTAATCCAGCCATTCATTAAATTTCAAACTTTCTACATGTTTGCTTGTTTTCAATAATGCTATTTTACAAATGTCACCTGAGACGCAAAAATAAAATTTAGATATAAAAAAACAGTTGAAGCTTGTTCGTCCTTTTTTTTTTTTTTTTTCTTTTTTTTTTCTTTTTTTAAACTATCATAGGCATCCACTTGGTGGCAATGTAGTTCATATGTTTTTTTTTAACAATTTGACCTTACTCCTGGTCCCATTTTCTCTAATGACATACTGCATATCCACCGCATGAACGCTGTAATGTGATGCAGTATCTTAGTAGCCACGTCCAGCGAATGACTTGAGGTTGAGGAACAATACTGACTGACAATTTCAAGTGTTATACAAATAATTTTATGTCAACAACACATTGGTTGAGGATAAACAGTTTTGCTGGGGGATTCATGATGTAGTCGCATGCACTTCATAATGAAGTGATTTAAATGCATCCTGTTATTTTAAATTTGGATATGTGAGATTGAGAGTTAAGGATATAGTAATGAACATTTCAGTGTGTGGTTTTAGAAGACCATGTAGAAATTGGAAACGTTATTGCTGTGTGAACAGCATTATCTGGCATAACTCGCGTTTGTTTGTAGTTTAGTCTTGTCTTGTTTTTATTACTAACTTCATTTCCCATAATACATTTCACAGTGCAGCTTTACCAACTGGGTAATGTAGTCAAAGTGTCGATTATGAATATTTTTCAGAAAAATTAAAATGCATATGTTAGATGTTTTATTTTTTTCCCCCCATTCTAATTAACCCTGTTCAAATGTCAGTCGTGTGTCCATGGTTGGTACTGAAGGTGGCCAATGAGGGAGGGGGAAGAGATGCTTAGAGGAACTACGAGGACCACAATGCATTTTGGCCACCGTCACTCCTCCGCTCACATCCGCTTGACTCGCTATCTGTGTTGGAAAAAGGACTTGGTGAAACTGCAGCGATGTCAGTCCAGGTTGTGGCAGCGAAAATGGCAGAGGTCGAACTCAAAGACGTCCCCACCGGCAAAGACTTACCGGCTGCATCTCCGATGACACCGACGTCGGACGGCAAGAGTCTCGGCAGGATCGACCCGCACGAGGCCGGTTCCTCTGCCGCTGTGTCCCCTACAGCGGAGCCCTCCGCGAAAGCCGGGGAAGGCAGCCTGGGCTTGCTCACCCCGAACACCGCGAAGATGCCGCAGGCGTCGGCTATGAAGCGGTCGGACCCTCAGCAGAACGGCGGAGAGGCTTTTGTCAACCGTGACGGTACCGTCGCCGAGGCTCCGCGGATGAAAAAGGTGAGAGAGACAACATTTTTTTCCATAAGCACTCGTCTATATCCTCGCTGTTACTGGACCACCACTAAGCACCTCGCCGCAATGAAAGCTCCCTGGAAAAGCTGGCATTGTGTGACGATGCTAACAGGCTAGCTGGTCCCAAAGCTGATTCAGTTGTGTCCGTGGAAGCTTTAAATAATGGTCTTCGGTGCTAATAACACTGTGAAGGGTGTAAAAAGGGCTAAACACCTATTTAAAAGAAAGGTGTACCCATTTAATTTAGGCTGACATAGCCAAATCTTCAGGACATGGACTGAGTCATGTTAGCTGGATACGAGTATCCAACTGTTGTCACAAGTTTTGTGGACATCGTGTGTTCAAGATTGAAAAGACTTAGCTATTCCCTTACCATAGTTAGCACTTATTTTTGCTGGATTTCTGGATGTTTGACTTGCCATGATCTTGCGCAACAAAGTAAAATAATATTAACACCGGACAACACTCTGTTAAATTAAACACAGTCACACACTTAAAGCATAAGTTGCTGTCTTGACTGTTTGCTAACTTGCCTTAATGTTGGCCATTTTTGCTTGGTCAACAGCAAAAAAAAGAACAATTCAGTCACTTCCAGTCTTGGGACACGTGGTACCTTATTGCAGCACAGTGCTAGCAAATGATATATGTGGTTTTCAGCAAGAGCTTCCTGTGTAAACATATTAGGTAGCTATATAACTAACTTAATCCTGCAGAAATGCTGATGTGTGTGCTTCGTTGACAACCTGCTTTGCCTCATTTCCTCTGCCAGGTAGGTCAGGTGATCTTTGCCTCTTGCTTGACCTCCGCAGGTTAGTATATACAGGTTATTTACGGTTCACTGCTTAAAATACAAGCAGTGGTAAGTTTAGTCTGACTGATGCAGTGTCATCCAAAGTGTGATCTAACTCAGACATAACACTAGTCAATAATCCGTGACCCTGGGGCACTCATCACCTAGTTTTCTCAAGCTTGATTTAGCCTTTGGAGCACCATGGATTGATACTTCAGTGAAGGGAGTTCCTGCCCTTGTGGCTTAATTCAGAGGTCAGATTGACTTAGCATGTCTTTTTCTTGGCAAGGAAGGATCCCAAAACTGCCTTGCTGTGTTAGTGCCCTAAATGCATCTTATCTTTCTGCGACTGGCAAAGTCTTGATTAGGACAGAAATGGATATTAAGGGCAATGTTCAAGGAAAGAGCAGTTTTGATAAGAAATCCTTTGAGGAGGCTGCCAGCTTTATTCTTCTGATCCCAGTTATTATTAAGAGTTGACAGTGATTTATAGCCTGTGGTCACTGTAGTGCACTTTATCAGTTGTGGTCAGATTCAGCAGTTGATTCTCTGATTCATTGACTTCCTCCAGGCACAGGCTCCTAACAAACTAACTGCTGAAAGTTTTGGTTTCAAGATGGGTTTAATTGTATGTGGGTCAGTTCGTGCTCCGCCTTTGACGTCATTGCAAAGTACTAGTGTAGTGTGTTTTCACAACAAACCATTGAGATGGAAAGGCAAAAGGTAGGGAAGGTATCAGCCTTAGAAAAGGGTGAAACTTGGATACAGAACAAGTTGGGTGGGATACACTCAACACCCACATTGTCGATTCCGCCCAGACAATGATCCTATCCGGTTAGACAACCCCCAAGGAAACCCCAGTAAAAAAACCCACAGGGCAATAGCTGGATAGTACAGTGTGAGCATGGACCGCACACCGACAGCAGCACAGAGCAGATGGCTTTATGTACCTCAGGCTGTCACAGCACGCAGGCACATGGAAGTCAACCAGCTGCTGGAAGCACTACATCCACAGGGTGAACCACATGTGGGGGCCAGCCCCAGGCCTGACCTACCAGACAGCAACAGCCACATCTGGATTATTGAGGAGACCAAGTTCACATACAGGACCATGGTACAGACAGTTCATTTCTAAAATTCTCTACTCTAGTGAAAATATCACAATCAGTCATTTTAATATCTCATGAAATAAAAAAAAATAGTGTCTTGGTGGTGACAAAAATTTTATTGTCAAATGTTCCTTTATGTATCATCAGAGTTGTTTTTAAAACTGCATTTTATGATTCTTGAAGGCCAGTTGTCTTTTAAACAAATAAAGCGTGTGATTATAGTTTGTAGAGGCTGTAGGCCAGTGCACTCACTGTTTATCTAATCAGATCAGCGCTTTTATCATTTTTTAAATCCATTTTCATTTAAAGAGATCATGGTAATGTAAAGAGAGACCGCAATTTAATATAATCAGTTTATATAATAATTTTATTTATATAATCAGAGACCAATAATCCTGAGTAATGCATAATAGACACTCTACATACATTGGAGCAGAGATTCATCTGCTATATTAATGTAAATAATGTAAATACTCAGTTGTCACTGCACCTGTCTGATCAACCACTATAGCCACTGGGACAGAATGTTGCCTGCAGCCTATTTATAGATTATGGCACACTGCATTATAGATATATGACTACTGCCTGGCCTTGAGCATCTGCTGAATTCTGCTTGCCTGGTGCAATAAAGGGTAAGTGAAGCAGTGGGACTGATGATGCAAATACACATGCAGCAGTGTTGACTGACTGACTGACTGACTGACTGACTGACTGGATGGCTGCCTAGCCTTTAATCCATGCCTTTATCATGTCGCCACATGAGGGGATTAAAAGGCCAGCTCTCTGTTGTAGGTGCGTCCAGATGTAAGCTTTTTGAGTCAATGATGAGTTTCGTTGTGACCCGTGTGGCTTGGCACGCATATCTCCAGCTTCTGAGAAGTCCAGGGTGGTTGCTCCAGTTGGGAAGGAAGGAAACTAGCAAAGACCTCTGCAAACAGCAGGCCTAGTTGCTAGCATGGTCATAGTTTGTGGTTTTTGGTTATGGCTGTGACAAGTCTTGTTTTAGTTTCATACTGGGTCAGTAGGGTCACCTGATGTCTTATTTGAAGCAGATGATTAACCTGTTGAGCAAACTGACCAAACACAAGGCTTTTCACCCTGCAAGTACAAACTGAAACAGTTCTCCACTGATGTTTGACATTTGGCAATGACTAAAGCATGCACAGTGATATTTCTGAATGACTCCAGAGATCGGTGTATTAGTAAGGTCATCCCTCTCCGATGTAATGTTATGTCAGCCACTAAGCCGGTGTTCCTGGTAGGTGCTCACTGGTTAACAGGCTTACAGTGACGTGTGGCTGCTCTACTTGGGAAGAGAACCCTGTGGAAGAAGAGGTTCTGTAAAATCTGTCTGCAATAAATTTTGTGTTTATTTTGTATAGTTTTGACTGTACTGTAAGGCTATAGTTTGTCCTGTCTAATGCTACATCTTCACTGATTGCAACAACTGTTTTGTGCCACTTTGCTCTGTATAAAACAACACCTGTGGATCTGTCATTTGGCTTTTTTCTGGCCCATTCAAAGCAGGTGAACTGTTATATACTGATGTCAGTATACATTATAAAAAGCAGACAGGCTAATACTACTTGTTAAACCCGTTGGAACTAAAAGTGGTTGGTGAATGAAAATGTGAAATAAGCTAACAGAAAGCCCCAGCACCAAGTTAGTTCTCCAACCATTCTCATTCATACGAGTTTACAACGTTATCTTGTGAAGTATAAGAAGCCACTGCACTGTCAGCATTGTCATCTTCATACAAGGTCATTGAGCATCTTTATCTGCCTGCGACTGTCCTTGGCAACAAAGGAGTATGTGTCACTTTCCTTCCCCGTCTCATTCATGAGTCACGTCAGCAGTTGAGTCGGTCTGCGTATGTGTCTGTTAGTGTGCGCACAGTGGTAATCACACACACTTTTGTTGTTGTAGCCTAATCCTACTTTTTGGATTTTTAAAATATTTTCTTAGTTATGTATACAAATCCCAATTAAGACACCTCTTGGCCTGTATTTTTGCTTCTGCTTTTTTTTTTTTTGTGAGCAGAAAAAAAAGCAATTTAACATTGCAGCTATGATGATATAATTGGGGTATTTTTGTAAAAGGGTTTCATTTCAATATGTCATAGTTTTTGAAAGGGTCAGTTTCCCCTGTCCACACTACAACACAAGTGACTTTTTAAGATTTATGCATTTAAAGACAAGTTTTTAGAGTTGCAAAAACCTGTTTGAAGACCAAAAGAAAAACATCTGGATTCCCAGTGAGTACACTGGCATATGCCAGCTTCGCTGTATTTGGCAGCAGCATAAAAATACACCAAATGTGATTTTCCCTCTGAGTTTACTGCCTGTCCTCACCACATTAGACAAATAGAGACGGTCTTTTAAGGCATACAAACACACATTCACACATCCTTTTGCTGTGTGTGCTCACAAGGGGGAATGTGGCACTATGGTGTGAATTTTGAAAAAATGCCCTGAGAAAGTAAGAGAAAGGGAGCATTGGTTACAAATCCAGTTGTCACACAAGTCCCCCCCCCCCCCTTTTTACATGGATGTTGATCACAGACGGTTTTTGTGAAAACATTGCAGCTGCCACGTCATGTACCCATTTTTCTCTTGCATAAATCATTAGTTTTCCCACTATTATCTCACCTCTCCAAGCAAAGTATTTTGGAGGGAACAGACTGATGCAGTTAAAGCATATGATTTAAAGACCTACTGCAGGCAACAGAGGAGAAATGCATTGAGCGTGGCATGCTCAGCTGGACTAGGAAAAAATGTTAAGGAGCCTCAAAAGTAAACATAGCATTGACCTGACCCACTTACACCTTTCCTCCTTCAATAAAATCATTATGATTTGAATATATGCTTATCTTTTTGATGAGTTTATATAACATGATTTTTAATTATAGCCCAGCCTGTCGTTCACAGCAGGCCCAACATAACTCACAGAATTTCTGTCATATTGATATCTTTAAACATGGCGAGCTTGAAGAGGGCTTTTCTTTTGAAGAGTAACATTCATATTGTTTTGGAAACACAGTGACAGGAGTTTCCCTGCTAGCTCTCTGCAGCGCTGTATTAGATTAA